GTCAGTGCTGTGAAAAATCTGTATTTACAAACGTCTATGAAGAATATGGAGCAGATGTTTCTCAGAAGCGCCTTCTGGAAGCTTTAGTCACAAGAGAGAGGCCATGATACAACTGATCAAACCCAAAAGTTTCCTCAATGTCATTTGTGTTAACGTGGAGTACCACCACAGAACTGGTGGGGTTCTGTGACTTCACTGAAGTTGCAGCTTCTTACAGTCAGAACCTGGCCCGAATACTCAAATAACACACATCACCCACATGCAGTGATGTGAGCAATCATCATAACCACAGGGCAATGGTATTATCACCCGCCTCAGAAATACTTGGTGAAGCCAATGAGGGTGCAACCAAAGCAGAGGCCTTTATGAGCCCTTTCACAATCATGCTTCCTGTGCCTACACAGCAAATAAAGAACACGCTTCCCAGTTTTTATGACTCAGAGTTTTACAGCAATACCTCCTTATCCTCTCATTTCTGCCTGACTTCTTAAAAAAAAACAAAGGAAAAACAATTTGGGATTTAAAAGCATCACTTGATGTCAAGAAAAAAATTAACAGATTTTGACTTCAGACATTTATATTGGACGTTGAATATTATGTCAGCTGGTTATTTCTTTGCAAGCAAGATCTCATACACTTTACAGCTGGGAGCATTCAGGGTTGCTCTGAGTTTTTGTTTTCCGAGAAGAAAGGTGGGAATGGTGCAGGCAGCTTTCGCTTATGTTTGGGCACTAAATAATACATATCTCAAAGTGTACCATAAGGAAACAACTGTTCTGTCAAGAAGACACCAACCACTCCTTCCTTACTGCTCTGTGGGAAAACCAAAAAAAATACTGAATCCCAAATGCCGCTTTTCTTGGCTGAAAAAACCTAAGATGTTATAAATTCTACTTTTGATCTATTACTTGCATTTTAAGCTCATTTTTTACCTATTTAGTGCAACTTCAGAACATATGCATAAACACATTCAATACAAATCCAAGTCACAGCATCACAGTAGTTCCAAGCTAAGGAATAATTTTTTTTTTTAAGCTGTTAACATGCTGGTATTTTCTTATAAGTTGTTATTACTAATTTGAAGTTACAGCTCTTATAAGTAACATTTTTACATTATTCTGACCACTAATTACTAAATAGAAATAACTACTATACATAGTGAAGTTACAAGCTACAAAAATAAAAATCCATTCTGTTTAACTATAAAAATCCTAGAAAGAGAAGACTGCTGGAGGTACTCTAAGGATTACAACAGTTGGTAGCAGACAAAATGGCTTTTGAGGGATGTAAACTTTGAAGTTACAGAATGCAATAAACTCACAATACAAGTTCCCACTTATTCTTAGAAAGAAATTTTTATGCAACAAGTGAATTACAGCAATAAGAATACATAGCGCAGTGATCAGGGCAGTACTAATGAGAAACAAAGCAAAATTTTGAATACATTCATATTTTTGAACAGTTAAGGGCCAGATCCTCAGCTAATGTAAATCAGCATAACATCACTAGGTTTAGTCAAGGCATGTGGCTTTAGTCCAGCTGGAAGTCTCTCCCTGAGATGCCCAAAACCTGAACTGGGTATTCAGCACTCTTAGCGAGATAAAGAAATTTTGGTCATGCTGTGCTTTTAGAACTGCGGCCTAAATGAAGTTGAAATACAGAATGTGTAAATTCCCTCAATATACCTAATTGCTAAATGAACAAACTGTCTCTGTTGTCTCATTCCTGTGTTCAAGAAGCAGCTATTGTTTCTCAGAAAAAAAAAAGAGCATTTTTAAATAAGGGGATTCACATTCAACAGGATCAGTTACGCCACTAGTACTTTTAAATCTCAAGATACCCTAGTTTACTCCTAACTGAAGGGTCAAATCTTTTTTCTTTTCCAAAAGGAAGAAAACTGCTAGCAGTCGGTATGAAGTACAGAACAAAAAAGGATTTTCAGTTAGAACACATGCATAGATTACTAAGTGTCCTACTCTTACCCATAAATTAACTAACTAGGATACAGTGGTGCTCTACCAAAATGGATTTGTTAACAAGTAAAAAAGAGTAAGTATTATAACATTGATACTGTTATGCTTTTCACAGCTAAGGTACAGTGCTTTAAGGTTTTTTTGACCAGTGAGATACAATAACATACACTATAAAAGCTGTGAGCTTCAGTGCAACGTAATGCAGAACCAGAAGGAACTGGCCAAACTGAGACCAGAACCTGTAACTATCAGTTCTCAGAACCTGTGGACAATGGAGAGATTTCTCTCCAGCAGCAAAGAGCAAAAATTGTACTTTCAAAATAGGTGAGGGGGCCTGGGAACCTTTGGAGTCCTTTCTACTATCTTCCAGGGGTGGTGATGGTGACTGAAAAAGCCAAAGAGGTGGGTTACTGCGCTAGGAATAAGCTGTGTGAAGCCATTCCAATTTTCTTGACAAGCTACCTGGCATGAACGATAAACTGGGCAGCAGAGAAGCTCACTATCCCCAGTTCAGCAGAGTTTTTGATACTGCCCCAAGTGACGTTTTTAGCTGAAAGTGAGCCAGCATAAAATGAGTAATTACATGACCGAGGGAAAGAAGCACTTACTGAGTAGTTGTAAACACTAGCAAGACAAAATGTACAGGGGAACAAATTCGCAGCCTGAATCAGCTAAAGCAACTTTTCACTCACACTTGCTATAAGCATTGCCTCAACAAAATTATCTTCTCCAACTGTGTTCAAATACAGTAGCATTTCCTTTTGCAACCAGGACAAACTCAAGTTTGTCTTCTGAGAGCAAGTACTTAAAAATTCTACTTAAAGTAAATGGCGTTAGTGCCTAAGAAAAGCAAGACCTGGAAAAAAACCAAACCATGAAGGGGCAACATCGAAAGTGAACATATTAAAAAAAAAGTATCAAATGCATGAATTATGCTATACAGTCTTTTATATTATGAACATGAAATGCAATTCATAACAGCGCTGAGAAAAACGTTCAAATTTGAACATAATTCCAAATTAATTTGAAACAAATATTGCCATTGCAGTAGAAAGAAAACATAGGACTATGTTCTTTAATAACTGCAGTAATTCCAAAGTGCTGTTAAATATATGCTCCAAGCACTATCCTAACCTGCTTTAAGCCGCAGGAAGAATAGACAGAAAAAAAAATATAAGTGAATGCCATTCACGTCAGCTGTTTTTAAAGATGAAGAATGCAAGTTTGGCCTTAAGAAGTCCAGACGTGAAGAAAGATCCAAAATGCAGGTGGCATTTGAAACAGTTTAGCCCTGCTATGAATTGCTGAAGAGAAAACACAAAGTAAAACAAAGCATATGACAAGAAGTTCTACAAACGTGAAAATACACATACAGTGTGGGTGTAAACAAGTGAGGTTTGAGCAAGGCAGGAAGCAGACTCACAGAAAGGCTCTCCATACAAGTTTAAGGTTTTTTGTACAGCATGTCACAAGATTGAGAACCTACAGCAGAGAAATCTATCAGAATCTGACCAAACTTCAGTTAAGCTAAAGTGTATTCAGCAATAAAACTCAAAAATAAACTTTGTGAATTCACTTTTGAGTGCTTGACAACTGATGTTAGTCACCCTGTACATTTTACACAAAGGTATACTATATGAAGACTGCCAGAAGAAACTTGTCACTATTTGTCTTTTTGAAACATCGCTTTCACTATTTTTCCAATGTTAATGATTAACAGGGCATGGGAAAATTCTTCAGTGCAGGACACGAGATCCAGCTGCAGAGTACCCTCTTCTGGATAGAGAATGTACTGCAGCATTTTCAGGTTTCCAATCTGTTTTCAGAAAAGCTATTTTTACTGGTGCTTTATGCACCTACAGTATTAAAAAGGCATGTCATAGTTTTACAGTCACAACACACATGACGACATGCTACAGCTATACTACAAATTAGAAAAATTCATTTATGTTAGCATTAGAATCTGGGAGCCCATTGCTGACATTTACTGTCTGCAGTCGGACTAAACTTAGTAACAGTTCCATAAAAGTAACTCAGAACAAGCTTTAATCCAATTTTCAACATACTGGAAAGGAGACAACACTGAAATCAAAGGACAGCATGTTGGAGACAGAAAGATTTCCCAACAGATTCTAGTGCTAACACTGTATGTTTAAAAAGAACTTTTTTTCATCACGCACATTGCAGCTACATATAGTTATAACAGACAGATGACCCCACATCTGGAACATTAGGAACTGGACACTTCAGCCTTACAGAATATGCTCCAAACCATAAATACAATTTTACAAGAGGCTTCCCCATGCTTACAATGGTTATGTTTGCTACCTATCATTTGCTGCAATGACTAACACTCAGTTTGTGAAACACCACCTTCTTCACTTCCACATGCAAGAAGGGGATGATGTGTTCAGTACAAACCAAACCATTTAGCATGGGTTGTCCCAAAGAAGCACCCAATTAAATGCCACTTTCGTTTCTAATTCTCCTTTGTTTCTCCAAAAGGATTGTTGGATTTATGTTTCCCAAAGAGGATTTCACACATTTAGGCCTGGACTCCTAGCAAGCCACAGTACATGGGAGGATCTTGCCTGCACAGACATAGTACAACATTACTGGTATCCACTTGGGCAAAGCACCTCACCTACTGTAAAAAAGGGAGACTTTCAAAGTGTTGGCATCGATTATTTTTTTTCTAGATGTCAGGAGTTCAAAGAGTGAAGTTTTTGAACAGTTAAAGGTTCTTAGGCTATAAAACAATTTGAATAATCATCAGATCAACTTCAGGTAACTCTTTAAACTGTATTATGAATTGTTTAGGTCAAGTAGCCAGTGGTGTCATTTTTCTTGAGAAAATACTGCCTTTCATAGCACATACCCTGCTTTTCCAGACTTGCCATTTGTTTGTAAACAATAGTTACGTAAGAACTGTAGCACAGAACTTAGTTATTTTTAGGATGCTGATGGTTACAAATTATTAAAAGAAATAATAACATAACTAGCAAGATTTTTGAAGTCTATACAAATTGAACATCGTAACTAAAAAAAAAAAAAAAAGGGTAGTGGATTTATCTAACATAGTATACCTCTGGGTATTTTAAACACTTTTTACATAGATTTAACTATTATTTTGTTTTCTATATTTACATACAATAAAATAATTAAGATGAGGTGTACAAGGCTAATGAATATAGAATTTACAAATGGCTTCTGTTTTACAGTTCATTACACACTAATCACATTTTCAGGCAGCTAGAAATTCACTGATAATCAGTAGTATTTAAGATCTAGTACATACACTTTCTACAATGAATACCATCAAGTTAAAAATGCTCTCCAAAGAGGATTACAATTGAAGGTTTTAAAAATACTGACTTTGCCAAGGTTTCAATAAATTATTTTAAAATATAAATAGTTCATTCACTGTTAATGCAAATATCATTTTACAGATTGTTGAAAAACAGTTTCATTTTACAAAACCTAGAAACATAGCTTACTTTACCCAACGGTATCGCTTTCAGTTAGCATAAAGAAAAAAGGGGGAGAAAAAAAAAAAAAAAAAAAAAAAAGACCGGGAGAGTTCTGACAAAAGCAGCAACATTCAAAATTCAGACCAAGGCTCTCAACTTCTCTTATGATCTTGGTTTATGCACGATCCAGTTAGGAAAAGAATTTATGCTGAATGTAAGATCACCTTCAGTAACTCAACTGGACTTAACTAAATTACTTAGTGACAAATTTTAAACCTCAACTCGTAGCTCTCACCTGCTGCAGGGTTAAAATACATACAACAGAAAGAAAAAAGGAAGCAGATTTTTACTTCTGTTAACCATGAAGATGTTTTCACCTGAGAAGCTTTTAACCTGAGAAGCTTCAGATATGCCAAATTGACAGTTTCTGTGTACTGTTGTATGTGTTCTTAACCTTTACTATCAGTATAGACCACCAATCTTTTTCTCACCCTATATTCATATGGGAAATGAAGTTTCAGGTCCAACAAGATATTTTTGACCCCCTAAGAGCCAGTCAGAAAACAAATGCTTCCATGTTTTCTTTTTTTCACAGTCAAATTATACACATGAACGCCAGAGCTTGCTAACCTCTGCAAACTTCGCTCTCAACATCCACGCTTAAACAGTTAACAGACTTGCTATCGATCATTTTCAGGTGATTATGAAGGAAGATCTTTAACGAGACTTTAAAAAAACCCACATTTGTCAGTCATCATTATTTCTTTAAAACCCTCCTGTAAACAGCTAAAAAAGACGTCTCCTTTAACCAACTTTCCCTCTAAAAAGCCTCCTCAAGAACTAAGATGTTGCTATTCACAAGAAATAGTTTCTCACTGAACTGAAGCTGTGTCAGTTACTGGATTATTCAGTGCAAGTCATGGTAAATTATTCTGAAGTGGTATCTTGGGTACACAGGACTTCAGGAGTACTCTGTCGGTGGCTTACAAAGCCACTGAAAAAGGTCATTCACTAACAGAACATTTCCAGAAACTTTTGGTCCAAAGCATCTTTCTTGCTAACCCCCTTCCCAAGAGCTCCCAGATCCTGTGCTCCCCCAGTCAAGCCTATCAGATATGCTCTGCATAAGCAGGCACACCGAAAAGTATTTGTCCTGCTCCCATGAAGAGATGGCAGCCAGGAGGAGGCTGTTGTGAGAAAAATCAGCCTACATCCTACTTGATTTGGTTTTCTGTTCTGGAACTGTTTTGGGGAAGAGGGCAGGTAGAAGCAGGCTAAACTCCCAGCTCTTCCCCTTTCCAAGGGTATCAAACCTTTTGCATACTACACTGCATATGTGCAGAAGATCTGATTCCATAGCAAGAAAGGGCTGCAGCATCTCTCTTTTTCCTGCCATTAGAGTAACTGACTCCTCCAGCTAGGAAGGCTGGGCATCACCACCAATCTAAAAGGCAAAACAGTTGTGGTAATTCAGCTGTGAAAGTTTTCATGAACATGAAAGCATGGCTTTTTCCTCAGCTCTAGTTCACTCATAAGTATGAACCTTATGGCATAAACTTTAACCTAGATCAGGCGTTCTCAGTATTTTCGATGAGCTGAAGTTCATCACTGTGTTACATGAAATTCCACAAAACCTATACATCTTCATCCGTCTGTTCTCTCACGTGGTCTTGCTCAGACATGCTGGAAGCTTCGTCGTCTGTTTGTTCACCCGAGTGATACAACATCAGTGCACGTGTCTTATGAGTTATAGTAACAGCGCAGGGCCCCTGAGCCCATGGCTCTCCATCCACCTGCATTGGCATCTTTGAACTCTTCAAGATCAGCTAGTATTAAATAGAAGAACACACAATCATAGCAGTTCAAAGTAGCTCTGAGGATACCTTTTACAGCTACAGTATACTGATGCTGCACGTTTGCAGTCTGGCCAGAGAGAAGCTTAGTGTGTAATTAGTTGCACTCATAGGCCACCAACCACGGCAACAGAGGACTGTGAATTACAACTTAATTAACTTTTACTAAGCAAGAGAAACATCTAGCTCAGCTGCAACTTCTGATCAGACAGTTGACTGCTTGAGATTCTATACTGTGTATTAGAACAAATTTGGGAAAACAGGTTCATAAATGCCACTTACCCTGACTGTATGTGCCTGCCCTAGGCGAACAGGATTTGCTAGTTTCACCTGAATCTGTGCACAGTGGAAAGAACCATGAACACCAACAACTTCCAGAAGTCCATCATCATGTCTAGGAATTAAGAAAGACGACTCTCTTAAGTGATGCTCATGAGCTCTAGAATACCTGTCCAAGTATTACACAGTCCTTTTATGGCTATTGCTATAGAGAAGACAAATTTATTCTACTATATGTTTAAACTATCTATTTGTTCTGGACAACAAATCACATGAATGGCAAAGCCATACAAAAATGCAAGTATGGAGCAATACACCAGCTGGTACACCCTAGCTAGCTTCTGGAAATTACGGATATGTGACTTTCCAAGACTTATCGTGCATATTTAAGGCCCACAGTAGATTTCTCTTCCATTAATTTGTACAATTTTCTGTCTTTTCACTCAGTTATTAATCTACAGGAAAATCTTTTAATGGCTTAACTTTTTAGATTTTTGGTAAAGGACCTTGCCAAAGTATTTTTAGAAATCCAGGATCATAAGCCTTCTAACAGAACTATGGAGTATATTTATACACATGGCCTCTGAAGAAGGAAGTCACAAGAGGGAATAACTAATGTACCCACCTATTCTCATCTTTAGTTTTGCTCTAGCCAATTTACTCAAGCATGGGAGTCAGATTTTTGGCTTGCTTTGTTTTTAATTTATATCCTAACCTCTATTAAGACGTGTTCTTTTATATTCTGAAATGGACTTATCGTCTACCTTTTGAAGGCTACCTTTATTTTTAATAGCCTCTGCTACACTACTGCTTAATCATGTCAGACATTTTGAGAAGGTCTTAAAAAACCTTGATGTGTGGGATGCACTTAGTCCAAGTCTCTAACATGAGGAAAATAAAAAATCTGAGATACTCTACTGTCACAAGGAATCCTTCTGACTTTCAGACAAGGCTGGCTACATAAGCACAACCTACTGAAGGGAATTACAGAAACTGTTAAAAGGAAAAAAAAAAAAACCCAAAACAAAAACAAACCAAAAAGATGCACTGGGTACCTCGCCAAGGGATAAGGTTCATCACCCATTCCTTCCCAGAGCCTACAGCCACCTCCCCAATATCCAATATTCAGGACAATGATGCCTTCCAGATTGGGCAACTCGATTCTCTCACCATCCAACTCTAGCTTTAGAAGACAAACAGAAGTAAATTACTGTGGATCAAATTCAGTACTTCAATATAAGCTAGTTTTTATCTTTCTGTATTTAATAGGCTTTAATTTGAAGAAAAACTGGCCCTGTACAAATAGAACATATTTTCTTTTCATACTTTAAAAAAGTGACTTCTGATTTCACAAGATAGCCTAAGCTGTAATAAATTTCTGTTAGCAGAGGAAAGAAAAAGGAACCCTCACTTATGTAAGTCTCTGGTGCAAAGGCAAATCTTCTCTGAATATCAGTACTTGAACTCACAGAACTGAGTCAAGGCCAGAAGAAAATTTAGGAATTTTCAGTAGGCTCAAAGACATGAATTCCATGAAGTAAGCTGCAGACAGCAAGAGGAACATCAAAAATACTCCAAGTCCAGAGCCATCCTTATACAAATATCATATAGATGTAAACTGCAAAGATTTCTCTCACAAGGTAAGTTTTTACACTCCACTGATTGTCTGGAGAACAATCAAGTTAAAAAAACTTACCTCAACCTTTTTGTTAAGATCTTTACATTCTTGTACTAAGCAGTCTTTGGTTCCATAAAAAAAATAAACAGCCTACAAAAAAACCCCAACAAACAAGAAGAATAGAAAACTCTGTTAGAAAGAGACAATACATATGAAGACTATTTGAAATATTCATGTATAGTTATTGTTCTGTAAACCTTGTCTAAAATTCATACATAAAATATTCGCACATCCTTCAACTAAGCTTTCATATGACATAAGCCACCACTCGCATAAGAAACTTGCTTTCCACTTTAAAAAGGAAATAGGCAATGTCCTTAATCCATTAAGTTTCAAAGCAAATGAGACTTTCTAAACAAAAAATGAACAAACAGCATATTCTGTAAGCAAGCAAGCAGAGGCAAGACAGAACACTTATTAGTAGGCTGGAAACATGTTTTACGCATGGAATCCCCTCCCCAAGAAAAATGGGTTCAAACTCTTAAAACAGCATGAAAGGAAGTAGGGGAGTAAAGCAACGTAAAGCAAAAAATAGCCTTAAGTCAACAACTACAAGGAGAAAATATCACTTTACCAAACACACCTTATTAATAATTCTGCTGGAAAACAGAGAGGGAGTCTTCTCACGATGAGCATGAAAATTTAAAGCCATGAGAGCATCAGGTCCTATAGAAAAGTAGTTGTTCATTGTGAATACCTGTAAGACAGGACTTCTAGTTATGGTCTTATTAAATATCATTATTAGGATTTAAAAGTCACAGTGTTTAATGGGAAGTAGATAACCAGAAAAATACGTATAAACATACAGGTACTCCATCAAATCCATATTTATACTTGCAAACCATACCTTTGGTTTCCTTAAGTTGTAGTATCCTTTGTTTGTTACTTGTACCTTCCATCTGAAAAACAACAGCCATTACTTAGACTCATGACAGACAGACTGTTCTCACTTAGTATCAAAGCTGTAGTTAAGAATCTTGCATCTATACTGGGATCAAGTAAAAAGTTTCAAATTTGTCTAAATTATGAAAGACACAAGCCTTGCAGAACAACTAAATAAAGACTAATTTTGGACCTCAGTTGTTTTGCAGTTCCTTCCAGCAATAATTGTGTTTCTTTACATATACTGCTGCAACTGGGTATCAGTAGAGCTATGGTAGTATTGGTTCTGTAGAATTTATCTTTTCACTGTTACTTACCTGTCTAGTTTGATTCCATCTGCCTCCATGACATTTCGTAAGATTTGTTCTACAGGGACTTCTCCAGCATAACCTGCACCCCAGCCCAGTGTATTAGACAGGTCATTACCTGTTCCCAGAGGTAAAATTGCAACTTGTGGAATATAGCGTTCTTGCCCCTATGATACAGAAACACTGTGTATTAGCTCCTTCTTTAGCACTTATTTTCTCCCTTTTATCCCCAAATGTTCAGGTTAGATAAATATCATTAATCTTCCATTTCAAATCAGCAGTTAACACACAGCTTATTTTTTCCTTCTCTACTTGCTGTTAACAGGTGAGGTTGCAGACTGCTAAGATTCTTTAGAGTACGTGATAAGGAGCAGGAGTACTCATTCATACACTAGCAATAGAAACAGTGTAGCCCGAAAAATTATGAGGTTATTATAAAAGATTGAGTACTGTGGGAGAAATAAGCAGTCAGGGCACATTAGCCATTATTAGTGATGCCACTTAAAACATATCTGTTTAGACAAAGAGGAAAGAACAATCCATAAAATATTCCACAGTTTGTTCTTTTCTTGTTCTACAGAAAAGAACTACTTTAAATATCATTGAAAATCTAAAGCTTTCATATTTTTCCTGAACTACAGGGACTCATAACAAGATGCATTCCCCCCTCCTCCCCAGTACGAATAAGTAATTCTGGAAATATTTCACTGTAGGCTTATTCAGGAAGACGAAAACAATAAATGCAGGTAAAAAGATTAGGTGTAGCACTTTAGCAGCTCCAAAACTCATTTCACCATAAGACATCTTTTAATGTAAAACACAATACCTTTATCTTCATTTCATCAACTGCATCCAGGACCCAGCCTACTGTGCCATCCCCACCACAGACAAGAACCCTGACAGTGTTGCAAGGCAGCAAGGTACAAAGTTGGAGTGCTTTAGCAGGTGCAATTTTGCTTAGATCAAAAACCTAGAAGAAAGGAAAATAAGTTCCGTTAAGTTCACAGAGCATGACTCAGGATTTGCCTCACAGATAGACAACTTTAAATGGAGAATCTTTGTTTTGCATTAGAATGAACTTCTTACAATATTACATTAGCAAATGAGCTGTCTTGACTTTTATGAGCAGGATTTGGTGTCTCAGATTCACAACAGAGCTCCAGCTGCTTCACCAGGAATAAATGCCACTGATAAACAGAGCTGACAGAGTCCTAAGAAAAGTCTGTATCTAGACACATTATGATGAATTCTGTAAAGATGAAAGACTTCAGGTACAAGTTATTTTTAAATACTCAGCATGCAAAGAAGTTTATTCTTTAAAGCCTTATTGGGATGCGTTTAAACTCAACACATAGTGATTTCTCTTAGGCTGTATTCTACAGCTGGGTTTTGAACTTTAAAGGAAGAGTATCAAGGTGCAGCCAGGAAATCCAAGGAACAATTAACTGCCTTACGTCAACATCCTGTGCCATCCCAGTGGCTTTTAAGGGGAAAGCAACAACACAAAGCAGCAACTGTAAACACTGACATTTTCACAAGTGAAGTGAGAATTTAAACAAGTTTCAAATTCAGAAGATCCAAGTATTTAATTTTCTAAAAACTGTACACTGTTTCAAGAGCCAGATACTTACCATGAACAGAATTACTGCATGTGTTACTATAAATAGAAAACTGGACCAGTATTAGAACGATAACCATCTTGGGGGTGGGAGGAGCCTCTGCACTTTTGGTCTCTCTATATAAAGCTATTCTTTCTAAAAGACGAAACCTGCATTGATTTGTTTCATTTACTGATCTTCCACAAGATCCTACTGCCATTGTGAAATCAAAGTTTATTCTAGTTTAAGCTTTTATTTTATTTTAAAGTTTCACCCATGTTGTTTCCACTACGAGTATTAGCCAATATGATTATTGGCATCCAGTGTTTTCTGCAGTAAGGTACTACCTGCAAAAAGGTAACAGTCAGTCAGTCACACAAATAATGCACATTTGAAAATGTTTAAAGCCTTGCTCTGAAACCTGTCCCCTGTTAAGTGCTGAAATATGGAAGCTACCAATTAGTCTGAAGTAGTCAAAATAGAAACAAATACTTCTGACACACCAAGGTTGAAGATTTCAGTTCTACAGTGCCTAGAACAACAAACACTACAATGTTATGAACACATTAGTAGAAAAATCACAAAACATTCGAGGAAGTAAGGTACCCAAATCTCAGTGTTGTTTTGGAATAACAGGATCCAAATGTCTGCTCATGCTTCAACTACCATGTGAATAAAATGACAAACACTTCTGAATTAACACTGCAAGTGCTTCATATATATTAAAACGTTTACCTGATTGTTATTATTAATCTGACAATATATTGACTTGAAGTTTAAATGTGTGGGGTTTGATTTTTTAAAATATAACACCAAGAAGCAGTAGACAAATACCTTTTCATAATTGGTTCTTTTGTCTTTACGCATCTGGTTGATTGTAGACAAATAATATGGTGGAATAATTAAGTCTCTGAATTCTCCAAATGTACACTCCTCAGTCTTTAAACAATCCATCATGCATTCATCATGTACAGTGTACTGACACCACACACATCTGGGGAAAAAAAAAAGAAAAGACCAAAAACCATGGAAAAAAATCCTCAAACAACAGGCATGTTGATTTTGCTCATTTATTTTAGACAGATTAACTTTCTGAAAAGTACTTATGTTTCCATGCACCATTTTAAGTAATACTTTAAGCATGTTACAGAGAAAACCATGCAATCCCTAGATATTTACACAACTATGTATTGGCTACAGAAAATTACATAACTTGGTCATGTGCTTGCAAGTCAAGAAAAGTATTTGAATTATGTGGAAAAAAACCCCAACAGTTTTAAATTAATTCTTTTTAATTCCAAGAACAGGTGCTATAAATATCCTCTTGCATTGTCTGCAATATAAAGTTTCACTGAAAGCTTGTAGGAGAAACTGAATTCCTCTCCATCCTTAAACAGCACAGATAAAACACTAGAGTTCAATTTAATAAAGTGTTCCTAATAACATTAATTAATAATTTTCTTAAGATTGATAATACCCCTTTAAGTCTGAAACCTAAAAGGTTACAGAGTCCTGTATGAGGCTGATGGGATTTTGTTACGCAAAACTGCTCAGCTTTTTGACCTATTCTGAAAGCTGTCCTGAAAAATGGACTAGAACAAGAGGAAATACTGCAATATCCACCGCCAGCCTCTGCAGAATGTTAATCCTCCTTTTCTACATCCAAAGCCTTCGTTTAAGCAGCTGTGAAAGCTATTTTTGGAGTCCTTCTGACTAATCCAGCACACAACTAGAGCAGCAATTATACTTGCCCTGTATTGTGACTTACTTCTTCTCCTCTTCTTCCTTCCCCCTTCGCTTCCAAAATCCTCTTCTTCCCTCCTCTCCTACGCATACTCTCAAGGTTTTGTTTTTGTTAGTATGCTTTATTTACACTCCAATTCTGCTTACTTACCAAGCAATTTGACAGTATCACACAGAAGCAAAGCAAAAGCTGGCAGAATAAAGCTGGAAAGATGACATCCTTTGAGAAGGCTGAAGTAACACTTACACTGTACCCAGGACCTGGACCACTAGCACTATACTTGGGCATAACATGCCACTACGCGTCATGTTGACAACTTTGCAAGCAGCCTTACTCGTGACAGTACAAGCCCATTCAATGGTTCCTTGAAATTTTTTAACTGTTACCACAAGCTTTAACAATGGATTGTATTACAGTAGCTTTGAATACGTCCCATTAGCTTTTTTTGAATATCCTTAAAAATGAACTTGAAACAATTATAGGCCAGTTTTTTGTTCTAGTTACACTGAGCAGATGCCATACTCTTAATCTATGACTCAAATTACCCACAAGCATCCATTTTAATTTTAGGTTCTTTGAATTTGTTTTTTTAACAGTTTCATATTGGACTACTGCAGGATCTCCTTATGCGTTCCAATAACCCTGCAGAAAATACAATACAGCATCGCACTTTCTCATTGCAGTACCTGTAGTCGCAGAGCTTGGGCTGTGTGCCACACTGTTGTTTGCATACCATACAGCAGCTGCAGAGTGGGACATTGCCTCTGATCCAGTGGTGCGGCATTGAGCTGTGGGCTCCACCATTGCTCCTCATCATAATTTCCTTGCAGAGAAACAGCTGGTCAGCCTTCTTGAGGCATCCTTCACTGACTCGCAGGCCGCAGCAGTTGCAGAAAGCACCCTGAAGGATGTGCTGAGCACACACACAGCAGTAGGAGGGCTGGCCGAAGAGGTCTGTGTAGTGCCAGTCATGCTTGCTCTTGCGAAAGATGTCTCGTATTAATACCTGCCGCCGGGACCGCTGGAAGCTGCACCACAAGGTGATCAGCACCGGCAGGATCACAGAGCACAGAGTCCAAAACACCAAACTCCAGTCTGCGATGACCGAGGAGGAAATGCCGCTTCCGCTCTCCGTCCCTTCCATCCCTCAGCAGCTCAGCCCCACCAGCCTAACCCCTCGCACCAGTCAGGCAGACAGCAGGGCGAGCACGGCAATGGCCCCCAAGTTCAAGGAGCCAACGTGCGGCTTCATGAAACATCTTTTAATCCCTTATTAGGGCTAAGCACCTGTTTGCCCCCACATCTGACCTACCAACCAACAGAAGGACGTCAGTGCCGGCCGGGTGCGAGGGGCTCCTCCGCTGCCCGCCCGGGCCTAGCGCA